TATGTATGCCTGGATCCTGAGTATAGCTTCAGTAAGGCCTAAACCAACCATGGACGCTGATGTAAACTTACTTTGATTTCTTTCTTAATAGATGACATTCGTTTAAACATCCAAACTCTTCTACCAAGTAACATCATCTGAATAAAGAATTAAAGAAAACACAGTAAATTAAAGTGAGAGTAGTTTTAAACCGGTCATTCCAAGGGAAATCAATACAAAAATCAATTATTCTTATTTTAATTAGTCAAACAAAAGAAACTACAAAAACTCTATTTTTTTAAAGGGACTGTTGCGTAATTTCAAGTGTCCCTTAATACAACCATGGCAATGCTTGATTCACAAAGGAACGCTTAACCCTGATCAATAGTGTGGAAGTTATTGTCGTTTTTCTAGGCTCAGATAATTCCGAAAGGTTTTCCTGCAGCTTAAATGCGCAATTCAGTTTTGTAGAGAAAATACAATTGAAAATAGCCCAATCACACACCTTTAACCCTTTAGTAAAAGTAAATTAAACCTATATGAAGCATAAAGTCTGACCGCATCAACCTTGTTGCACCGGCTAGTCCTGTCCATACAAACTGGGACCGGAAAGGTTGACCCGGCTCGGAAATTCAAATGTACTACGGCTGACCGTGCAATTTTCAAAGTTATATACATTGATATCTAATCGGGTATTTCCATCTTTGTATGGAAGGTCACTTAAAAATACGCTTACAATCCCTTTAAGATCACATGTTTTTTCATATCAAATTATCAAAGTAAATAATGCTGATCTAATTAAGAATATGCAGAGACAGCGTAGTGTTCTAGTAATATAGATAAAGTTAAATCTCAGAAATAATCCTCTTTAGTGGTTTATAAACAGAATTAATTAAATTTGGATTTTAGACATTTTTAGAAAAACATAGAGATTATTTATTTACTTATTTATTTGTTTATTTACTTATTTATTTATTCATTTATGTACTACGCGTTTCCCACAAGTTTTACTTCTTGTACTCTATCAGCTGTATGTACTTGTACTCTTTATTTCCTAGTATTATATCAGCTTTATGTACTTGTACTCTTTATTTCCTAGTATTCTATCAGCTTTATGTACTTGTACTGTTTATTTCCTAGTATTCTAGCAGATTTATGTACTTGTACTGTTTATTTCCTAATATTCTATCAGCTTTATGTACTTGTACTCTTTATTTCCTAGTATTTTATCAGCTTTATGTATTGTACTCTTTATTTCCTAGTTATTATATCAGCTTTATGTACTTGTACTCTTTATTTCCTAGTATTCTATCAGCTTTATGTACTTGTACTGTTTATTTCCTAGTATTCTATCAGCTTTATGTACTTGTACTCTTTATTTCCTAGTATTCTATCAGCTTTATGTACTGGTACTCTTTATTTCCTAGTTATTATATCAGCTTTATGTACTTGTACTCTTTATTTCCTAGTATTCTATCAGCTTTATGTACTTGTACTCTTTATTTCCTAGTATTCTATCAGCTTTATGTACTGGTACTCTTTATTTCCTAGTTATTATATCAGCTTTATGTACTTGTACTCTTTATTTCTTAGTATTCTATCAACTTTATGTACTTGTACTCTTCATTTCCTAGTATTCTATCAGCTTTATGTACTTGTACTCTTTATTTCCTAGTTATTAAATCAGCTTTATGTACTTGTACTCTTTATTTCCTAATATTTTATCAGCTGTATGTACTTGTACTCTTTATTTCTTAGTTATTATATCAGCTTTATGTACTTGTACTCTTTATTTCTTAGTATTTTATCAGCTGTATGTACTTGTACTCTTTATTTCCTAGTATTATATCAGCTTTATGTACTTGTACTCTTTATTTCTTAGTATTCTATCAGCTTTATGTACTTGTACTGTTTATTTCCTAGTATTATATCAGCTTTATGTACTGGTACTCTTTATGTCCTAATATTCTATCAGCTTTATGTACTTGTACTCTTTATTTCTTAGTATTCTATCAGATTTAATTCCTTTTATTCTATCAATTTTAATTCCTTTTATCTTTCAGCTTTAATTCATGTTATTCTATCAGCTTTAAATCCTTGTATTCTATCAGCTTTAATTCATTTTATTCTATCAGCTTTAAATCCTTGTATTCTATCAGTTTTAATTCCATGTATACTATCAATTTTAATTCCTTTTATCTTTCAGCTTTAATTTATTTTATTCTATCAGCTTTAAATCCTTGTATTCTATCAGTTTTAATTCCATGCATTCTTTTAATTTTAATTCCTTTATCTATCAGCTTTAATTCCGTGTACTCTATCAGCTTTGATTCCTTGTATTCTAACAGCTAAAAATCCTTGTATTCTATCAGCTTTTATTCATAGTATTCTATCAGCTTTAAATACTTGTATTCTATCAGCTTTAATTCCGTGTATTCTAATTTTTTAATTCCTTTTATCTATCAGCTTTAAATCCTTGTATTCTAACTTTTCATTCTGTCATAATTGATCCATTATAATCATTGGCCATGAATCTTCTTAATTTTAGTTTGCTTAAAGAATAAAAAATAAAAGAATAAAGATAGTAAAAAGTTGGCGAGAGCAAAACAATAAAAATTTAAACCGAAAAGTCCAAAACGTTGGGTGTAATTGATTCCCATTTAGCAGATTTTTCTGAAATACTTATTTGTATCTAAATAAAACAAACTGTATTTTCTTCGAATGCAAGATTTGGTTTTTATCAACTTTCTTCTGATAAATGATGCATAATGCAGTCAATTATCATCAGGTTTTTCTCAGAACTGTGATTGATTTTTATTACATATCCATATTTTGTATTCATTTAAAAAGAAAAAGTTATGACATTGTTCTTATAAAATTTCCATTTGGTATTTCATGTGTAGTTTTTAAATTGATAAAGCCTTTCATGACTGTTTAACGTTTTAAAAATTTACTCTTGATAAAATTATTTTCCTTAAAAATTGTATTATAAAAAAGAGAAATTTAATCATTAAAAGGATTTTTTACTTTCGTATTGTTATACAAATGAATAACATTTGAGACGTTTTTTTAGAGCTCTTGCTCCCAGGGTTTTGGAGTAAAATGTGAAAATTTATCCGACCTTTTTATGAAAAGTCTTTTAAAAAGGAAAAATTGAAAAAAGGGCTCTGCTACCACTTTTTTACTGTTTAGGTTCAGATATTTGCAAAAACAAATATCGTAAATTTCCGTCCAAGTAGCCTGATCATATAGTTTTGATTTGCCAAACTGACAACATTTGTTTCAGCTTACACATTAAAGATTATTGGTAAATGTAAAAAAAATCTTTTTTAGCTAGATACATAAAGGTTTCATTTGAGCTGGACTAATACATCTCGATTCTCAACATCTTTATAAATTATCTTATTTCCAAGTTTTTTTTCGAAAAATTCAATTTTTCGCCTTAAAAAATCTTTAATTAATTGGCGCCATTCAAAAATGCGTTTTTACTCAACAGTCATGAAATAAAAATTGTTCTATGTTAAATTTAGAGCCTTTCATATGGCTCGCACAATACCAAAAATCATCAAATTATTGAGATATCTGAGAAACAAATGTTGTCAGTTTGGCTAGTCCAAACTATATGATCAGGCTACTTGGACTGAAATCTACGATATTTTTTCTGCAAATATCTGAACAAAGACAGCAAAAAAGTGGTAGTAGAGCACTTTCTTCAATTTTCGGTTTTAAAGTTCCTTTTTTAAAGGACTTTTCATAAAAGGTCGGATAAATTTTCACATTTTACTCCAAAACCCTAGGAGCAGCCACCCCTCCCTCCTTGGGCTCTACTTCAATAATCTTCAAAAAAAGTGCAAATTTTCAAAAATACAAATATTTGTTGCGAAATCTAGTCATTAAGCAAAAAATGTGCAAAACTAAAAAAATTGTGCAAATTGCAACAAATTTTACATTTTTGAAAAGCCATTGACCGAACAAATTCAAATGTGTAAAATCATATACAAAAATCATATGCCAAAATCTCGCGAAAAAAATAATGCAAAAATTTCCCAAAAAAAAGCAGAAATTATGCGAAAAAACACGAAACTTTTGCAAAAAAAGTAAAAGATTTTTTCCTGTAATTGGCTGGCTCATGGCTAGCTGGATTCGGGTGAACGTACGTGGACAGAAACTCAGAAAGATGGCGAGGGAAATCAAATTCTCTTCATCAATATTTATTAAAGTAAAGGAATAAAAATTATTATTACTAGAAATTCAAGGCGCTTCGCGCCCATCTCCAAAATTAGTTGTGAACATGCTCTCTTTGTGTACATCGTAAAACAAAACAAAAATAATTCGCGGATTTTCACAAAAAATTTCGCGGATTTTCAAAATTTTGATGGAGACAAATATTTGAAATTTTGATTTTTCATAAACCTTCCCTGGGGTCCCTAGATGTCCCACAAAAAATTTGGGCCCGATCGGTTCAGCCGTTTTGACGTTTATTGGATACAAACAAACAGACAGACAGACAGACAGACAGACAAGCCAAATTTATATATAGATGATATAAACGTTCAAATGTTGTGCTCTTAGAGCAAAGAATTCCAGAAGATTTTTGTGAATTAATTGTTGGAGCTACAACACAGCTACAACACAGCTACAACACAGCTACAACACAGCTACAACACAGCTACAACACAGCTACAACACAGCTACAACACAGCTACAACACAGCTACAACACAGCTACAACACAGCTACAACACAGCTACAACACAGCTACAACACAGCTACAACACTTGCGAAATTTTCGCATTTTTTCTCGAGACGTTTAGTTCGCTGGAAACCCTACTTATGCGTCTTTTAAATCAAAATTTTGACATTAAAATCAGATAAAGTCCATTGCGCTTTGTTTTTTGGATTTTGAATGACAGATTAAAACTGGGACAATGTGAGCATACTTTACTTTAATTAATTTAGCGTGTTAGAGTTCAGTGAAAACTCGTTTTTATTTCAGAAATAAGAAAAAAAACTATCGATAAAAAGTTGCTGTTTCTTGAAATATTTCGAGAAGTATGGGTACGTATTTGTGTACATATTTATGTAAAAATGTGAAAATTCTGGCTTGAAAATTGAAATTTTTGATGTGATTTATGTCAACTTGTGTAGAGAATGAATGAGACCGTTGAATTTGGTGAAAAAAAATATTATTTAGACAGAAAAAAAAATTTGCAGAAATTTTTTACAGACTGAATAATAAAACAGCAAATTAATTTTATCATTACTTTGTACACTGAATTTTTCTTGATTTGCTTGATTTGCAGAAATTGATTTTCCTAAAAAATTTAAATTAAGACAAGTTGACTAAAAACAATGTGAAAAATATGGCAACTGCGTTTTTCATCTTTGAAAGGTTGTGATGGCCGGCCATCTATATTTTTTTTAATTCTTATCATTTTAGCAGTTTTACTGAATACTTTCCTTTATTTTACTTCTTATTTTTCTTTATATCGTTTTTTTTGATATTCATCAGTAATATTCCAATTACATTTTATCAGATTTCTTTATCTTTCTTTTCGCCATATTCTTATATTTTATCAAGTTTTTTTTGATATTTATCATTTTTTTGTATCTTCTTTTGTTTTGAATAAATATTTTTTTTGATTTTTTAAAGTTTTTTTTAATGATTTTTATAATTTTTTCTTGCTGTCAAGAATGTTTGATTTTTTTCAATTTATCTGTATCTTCTTTTGGTTTACATGTATAGTTTTTATTGTATTTTAAAAAATGTTATCAGTTTTTTAAACCTTTTTTTGTGTGTTTAGAATCTCCCGAAGAGTACCCAGATGAAGATGAACCATTTGACGATACCGCCATGTTTAGGGTAACAAGACAACATTAGAAGAGGAGTTTGAGGCAGTAAAAGATTAAGTAGAGGGGGAGAGGTGAAAGGAATAGGGCATTAAGAAATTGAAGGGGGGGGGGGGGGGGTGCAAAAGAATGGTAAAGGAAGCGTGAAGAATTGGTAAATTTATTTTTTATTTTTATCATATCAAAGAAGTAAAACAAGCAAAACGAAATGTTCAAAAGTATTTTTTTGTGAAACCAATTTAATGACGTAATCAGTTATCTCCTTTAAAGGGACTGTAAACGTAATATCAAGTGTTTCTTAAACTGTTCATTTTCATTTGAGGTTTCTCTGCTAAAGTGACTTGCGCATTTCTTGATTGCAAGGAACAATTTTACAGAATTAAACACTTTCCGAGTCAGAAAAACGACGGTTTATCCCATATTTTTTTTATCAGATTAAAGTTTCGAGAGAATCGATGTAGATCGGGCGTTGGCATCTTTCCATGGAGGGTCACTTAGAATAACTTTTTCAGCTTGAAATATTGCAATCATAATTCTCATTCTGAATATGATGACGTTGCTACCAAAGATCATCAGGGAAAAATGCATTGAATTATGTCATTAATTAGACCTAATTACGCAGAGGAGTTGGAAACTTATAAACGACTAAAGTTTAAGTCTAATGATTCATCTGACGTTGACAGATCTCTTATTTGTTAAATCTAATAATTTTTGACCTTGATAGGTCAGTGTCCGAATTTAATGAATGTAAGCCTCGTCTTAAATCCTCCAAAAACCGGTTTCAATTGAGCGCCGGCTTAAATCTTGAAAAATTGAACACAATTTTATGTGGAACCAACCGGATTTGAGCCGCGGCTCAAATTCTTTAAATTCGGCAGAGAAACTGCGAAATGAAAATAAACATTTTGAAGTTCAACAAAAAAGATGATATCTGATTCAAACTTGATTATAAGCAAACCATTCAAGGGTATAGTTCTTAATCGGACATTGCCATATTTGCATGAAAGGCCACTTGAAAATGCGCTTACAGTCCCTTTAAGAACTCTTCAGGGTTGCTTTAATTTATCAACATTATAAACCAGAGATCATTTTTGTACATGGACAGGGTTTCCCAAAAAATTGATTTCACCGAATTTCTTCTTAGTAATCAGGTTTAGCAAAGGAATTTTTGCCACAAACTCTGATTTTCTAATACTTTTATCTTTACAACCCTATTTCGTAGACCTTTGAAATATCAAAGTAAAAATACTGGTAGATCAGGTAGTGTAAGTTTGAAATATCAAAGTAAAAATACTGGTAGATCAGGTAGTGTAAGTTTGAAATATCAAAGTAAAAATACTGGTAGATCAGGTAGTGTAAGTTTGAAATATCAAAGTAAAAATACGGGTAGATCAGGAAGTGTAAGTTTGAAATATCAAAGTAAAAATACTGGTAGATCAGGTAGTGTAAGATTGAAATATCAAAGTAAAAATACTGGTAGATCAGGTAGTGTAAGTTTGAAATATCAAAGGTTTATACAGTCAGATTGTTGAGATTTAGGAATTAGAGAATTTATGTTTGTGGCATAAACTCATTTTTCGTTTGTTTACTCAACTTAATGAGCCTATAATTAACCTGAAATATTAGCGTTTTTTTCAATAAATCAATATCAATAAAACCATTTAAAAGTGCTGTACGATGGTAGTATAGAGAACGTGAGTCAGACTCTAATAAAAACGCATAAATAACTTCCAGTATATATATTTCTTATAACTTATTACTAGAGGGTTCAGAACTAGAGTCAATATCAATATCACACGTGTAGATGATTTATCAGTACTATGCCCCGTATCCGTTCTATCTCATTCTGTTGAATCTTGTGGAACTTGTTTAACGCGGCCAGGCATCGTCTTCCACAGTAGAATATTACTTTGTCAATAATATAATTATTTGTATGAAGGTTTATGTGCGCCAGGGTCGTTTAAATCAGTCAAATTTATGGTTTATTTTTTTTCAGCCCCCAAAGGTACTGAGCCTCCCCCCCCTGGACAAAATCATGTACATATACAATACATATATATACAATACATATATATACAATACATATATATACAATACATATATATACAATACATATATATACAATACATATATATACAATACATATATATACAATACATATATATACAATACATATAAATACAATAATAATAATCTTTATTTGCGTATAAAGATACATTATTTACATCTTCTCTTATAATCAAATTACCAGGAAATGTAAAGATAACAAGCAGAGGGGAGAAGTCACGTGGATTTAACGGTTCTGTCAATATTCCAGAAAGCTGTGATTTTCGATCCCAATTTGACCCATTAAACATAATTTGTAAGCCTTTTTCCTTTCATATTTTTTTGTTGGCACATGCATTTTGAATGGAAATGTAAAAAAGAAACAAATCTGTAAAGTAAAAGATTGTTGAATTATAGACCAAAACACGTTTGATTTTAAATAGAAGAAAACGAATGCTACTCAGTCTGGTTAGTCCGGGGTGAAGTAAGATACGGAAGGGGATGTAGAGTGTAGGAAGGGGGGTCTATACTATAAAAACACTACCCTTTAAAAACGTAGCACATATAAAACATATCCCAAAAACATATCAAACCAAAACAAATCAAAACGGAACATATCCAACTACTAAACATATCAAACTACAGAACATATCAAAACTAAACATATCAAACTACAGAACATATCAAAATAAAACATATCAAACTACAGAACATATTAAAACTAAACATATCAACTACTAAACATATCAAAACTAAACATATCAAGCTACAGAACATATCAAAACTAAATATATCAAACTACAGAACATATCAAAACTAAACATATCAAAACTAAACATATAAAAACTAAACATATCAAAATACAGAACATATCAAAACTAAACATATAAAAACTAAACATATCAAAACAAAACATATCAAACTACAAAAGATATCAAACTACAGAACAAATCAAAACTAAACATATCAAACTACAAAAGATATCAAACTACAGAACATATCAAAACTAAACATATCAAACTACAGAACATATCAAAACTAAACATATCAAAACTAAACATATCAAAACTAAACATATCAAAATACAGAACATATCAAAACTAAACATATCAAAACAAAACATATCAAACTACAGATCATATCAAACTACAGAACATATAAAAACTAAATATATCAATCTACAAAAGGTATCAAACTGCAGAACATATCAAAACTAAACATATCAACCACTAAACATATCAAACTACAGAACATATCAAAACTAAACATATCAAAACTAAACATATCAAAATACAGAACAGAACATATCAAAACTAAACATATCAAAACAAAACATATCAAACTACAGAACATATCAAAACTAAACATATCAAATTACAAAAGATATCAAACTACAGAACATATCAAAACTAAACATATCAAACTACAAAACTTATAAAAACTTATCCAATTACAAAACATATCAAACTACAAAACTTACCAACTAACTATTTAATTGACAGTTGAAATTACAATCTCAAATTGAATTGTTTGATTGCAAACCCTAAATGAGTTGAGAAAAGCTATTAATTAATTTCTTTTAAAAAAATCCGGGAATTTGAAAAATTGAAAAGATTTCACAAACTAGTTCCACCAAGACTGTAAAGGAATAAACATGGAAAGGATCTTATGAGGTTTTCGTAGGTTTTAAAGAATATGTTTTTTCTAATTGTATAAAAAAGAAGTTTTTGTTATGTTTTGTATTTGATATGCTGTTTTTTCTTTAATTATCTAGAAAAAAGGCTTTAAATATGTTTTTATTTTGGTATGCTTTTATATGGTAGCGTTTCTATAAATACATCGGTAGGGGGATGTAGGAAGGGGAGGTAGGAAGGGGGAGGTAGGAAGGGGGAGGTAGGAAG